TGGGCAGCATTGCACGCTCGCGATCGTGGTGCAGAGACATGGTGGAAGACGTTCACCACTGGCAAGAGTGCTGAGCTCCTGGGTGGTGTTCCCCATGATACTTATGCAATGACGTCGTTGTCTATTCGTCAATATGTTCTCGGCATTTATAAGCAGCTTGCACTGAGGGAGACGGACATCACAAAAGTGCAGACTGGTGGTCCTGGTACGTTTCGTTTTCGCTCTTTGTGGCTTTTCGTCCTTGACGCAAGATTTTGCAGACGGAGATCTTGGTTCAAGTAAGTCGTGATATGCGGTTGACTCATGGAGTGTGTTAATTAACCACCCTGCAGATGAGATACTCTTGAGTTCTGACAAAACCATTGCTATTATTGATGGCAGTGGCGTTCTTGCTGACCCTGCGGGTATCGACCGCAAGGAGCTCATCCGCCTCGCAAAACTACGGCTACCCGTGTCTCACTTCGATAAGACCAAACTGAGCAAGAACGGGTACCTGGTCAAGATCGAGGAACAAGATGTCAAGCTACCATGTCCGTTGGCTTTCTTAAAGTTCGATTTTATCTTACATAATCTGTGCTTAGCCGGAGAAGTCGTTCTCGACGGTAACGATTTCAGGAACGGTGCTCACTTCCGTTTCAAGGCAGATCTTTTTGTGCCTTGCGGTGGACGGTCTGTTTGCGTCACCACCTGCATCAAACACTAGCTGACGATCGTTTAGTCCCGAAGCTGTAAACATTTCTAATGTTGCTGCTTTGACGGATACAGAAGGCAAACCCCACTTCAAGTACATCGTCGAGGGTGCAAATTTGTTTTTCACTCAGCAGGCGCGGTCGCACTTGGAGAAACGAAGGGTCATCATGTTTAAGGACTCCAGTGCGAACAAGGGTGAATTACCTTACTGTTTGTTTGATGATGATGTTGACCCTACTTCAGGCGGTGTGACCAGCTCCTCGCTCGAAGTGCTGGCAGGTCTCGCCCTCACAACACAGGAATACATCGACCTCATGATCTTCAAGGACGGCAAGCCGTCAGACTTTTACCGAAACTACGTTAAAGACATTCAAGCCAAGATTGTTGAGAATGCAGCCGCAGAGTTCCACTGCATTTGGCAAGAGCACGCCCGCCTCCAAGGTGCCAAGCCTCGGACGCAGATTTCGGACGAGCTCTCCATCATGCTTAACGAATTGCACACTAAGCTCGAGCATTCTGACCTCTTCAAGGATATTCCGAGCCGCAAAGGTGTAATGAGACGCGCTATACCTACCACCCTGGTGGAGCAGGTCAGTCTCGATGTCCTACTGGAGAGGCTTCCCGAGCCATACCAGCGCGCTCTGTTTTCGAGCTGGGTTTCTTCGCATTTTGTGAGTTTTATGTCATGTTACATGAGCACCATCCTCACCTGTCACAGATCTATAGATACGGCATTAACAGTTCCACTATAGATTTTTTTCATTTCGCTCGGGATCTCTCACGATAATGATTGGTTTTGGGGGCGAGCCGGTGTTAATATTGGTACAGCGACTTACGTGGTAGTATCTTCATAGTAGAGAATGAATGGAGCAAGCTCTCAAGCACCACTGCTGGAAGGAAAGACTCGTAAGTAGCTAAAATTTAGAAGCCATGCACCGGGGAATATCAAGTATTTTTGCTTTGCACACACGACCATATCGTCAGTGTGATTGGATGTGTACAGTTTGAATTCTCGTGATCGCAAGAATCAGATTTCAACGTTCGACTTTACTTACGAAGTCAATTCTTGGAGACTGAGTGAAGAAAAACACCTTCGGCCTGGCACTTCGGAAGTGAGATCATGCATGACAGATGGGGAGTACATCTAATTCACCGTGGGCCGTGAACCTGTGAACAGAATCAACTAATGGACGGAAGGGCAGTGCCACGGCACTGGTCGAACACGGATTTCATTGATCGCAGATTCTCCGTTATGGCCGGACATGTAGACTTGGATGAAGAGGCGAATGAATATGCATAGACATGATAGAATGGTGCATATTGAGAAGACATACGAGCTTGACGATTTTTTGTTTGCAACATGACCGATCGTCCCTGTAGAGATGACTCAATGGCTGGATTATGTGGCGTCAGCTTCGTGATATCTATATCAACCTTTGCGACTCCCTCATTCTTCGTGATGTTTCTTCGTCTAACATTTTGTGTGATCAAGGCAGGAGGTCGACGCCTTTCAGCTGTCACTCGAAAAAGCCCCAAATCTGAATAGTATTTGGATAGTGGATTATACTGCCTAATGAGACAACATCGGAGGTGATCTTATTACCATTATTTGTCCCTTCAAGCAAGTGCAAAGAGAGCGCCGCTGAAAAGTTCAACGACGTCTTCTGAGGACGAATATCTCCTTGACTACTTTGCTGCTAAGGTGGTGATCCGGCGACAAAGCTACGGTGCCAGATTCATGCGTGGTGACTTTGTGTCCAGGTTTGTGAGGAAAGATGAAAGGTGAATTGTGCCTTAATCAGATGGGCATCGAGCGCCGGGCAGCTTCAGTGAGCAGTTGGGTAAGGCAGTTTAAGATGTTTTTAACGAGGATGTCGGGGTCAACGTGCATTGGGCCAAGGTTGGAGCAGAGCACATGAAAGGTGAGCGCTTGAGCGGGGGACTCCGGGCCACCTGCTGTAGACTGATTGTGACTGAGCATGTGACTCGTGATCAGACACGAGGCTCGGGCGCACAGCCTGTGTGGAAGTGAACACGAGGATGACACATATTTACACCGTACCACTCAAACTTAAAGTGCACTCTTCCACCTTTGTGCCTTTGTGCCAATATGTCGCGAGCAGCTGAGGAACATATAGTTGTAAGTGATGATGTTGGACATTGTTGGATGAAAGCTAAGACGGAGGTGCGCCAAGATGTCTTCAACCAGAATTACAAGGAAGGAGGCATCAGCGATCACACCTTGCCAGAAATTTCAGGGACACACCGAGGGGGTCTATGGCGCCATACATCTGCCAGGGGGAGAACGGATAATGACTTGTTCATCGGACGGCTCGCTGCGGGTATGGAATTTGAAGAGTGGCAAACAGATAGGAGACGACTGGCGGGACGGAGAAACTACAGCGCGGACCATAGCGTTATCTCCGGACGGGAAGAAAGTGGTCAGCGGGAGTGATGATGGTGGAGTGAGGTTGTGGGATATCGACACGGGCAAAGTGATTGGGAGATGGATGGGGGATACAAATGCAGTGTATTCTGTCTGTTGGAGTCGAGATGGTCAGCGAGTCTTGAGTGGATCTCACGATGGGACTGCAAGGCAATGGGATGTAGAAAACGGAGAAACGATCCTCACACCAATCAAGGCAGGGTACTGTTTGTTCGCAGTGGTCTACTCCCCAGACATGACCTTGTTTGCAACTGGTGGAGCCGAACGCCCTTGGGATTACACTAGTATTGGAGATAACAAATCCACGATCAGAATCTGGAATGCCAAGACAGGCGAACTTGTCGCTACTCTTGAAGGACACACAGATTGGGTGCGGTGCCTGGTTTGGACCCTGGATGGAAAAACGCTTATACGATTGCTCGATTAGGACATGGAATACTTCAACTCGGAAGCAGATCGCACTGTTGGAAGGGCACACTTCCTTTGTCTTTTCCATTACCATATCTCCCAATGGCCGCATTCTCGCAAGCGCATCATTGGACAAGACAGCGCTATTATGGAACCTCGATAACAACCAGCCCATCAGTTCGCCCCTCCAGCATCCATCTCACATAAATTCTGTGTCGTTTTCGGTAGATGGGAAACTGCTAGCCACTGGCTGTGAGAACAAAAATGTGTACACTTGGGACATTTTTGCGATTGTAAAAAAAGCTGGTCTCGACGAACTTCTCTTGGACCAGCGCGACAAGTCGGTCCTTGCTGTACGTGACACCTTATAATCAAATCCCACTATTTATTTGGACATATGTAGGCTGCTACACGACGTCCAATCCGTCAGCCAATCATCGTCCCCCAGCGCCGGATACCACAAGGGTTTTTCGATGACCTACCAGATCGAGCTCACGTACGTCGTCAATCCAGTGCTGTTTTTCCTGACCTCAATGTTCTTAGGTTTCAGCACGACATCGCCTCCACCCTCGATCGTGGGCATCGCATGTGAGTACCCTTAGTGTCCGCTTTTCATCTTTATTCCGCCCCACGCACTCCGATACCCATGAGACGTCATCCCGACCTCGCCCTTTCCACTGGGTTCGAAATCGACTTTCTGGAAGACAATGCGGTGAAGATATCGAGCTCCGCGCGCGTCCCTCAGCGGTCGTCGATGTTCCGTATGCCAAGGGCAAGCGTGTATGTCATCTTTGTCTTTCTCGAATATTCAAACCCCATCTCATACAACACAGAGGAACGCATGTGCAAGAGAAAAGCGGATGAAAATAATTCCATTGAAACCTGGGAACCCTGCCGCAACCACCTCACGCCCTCCCGACAACAACGCTGCACAACACTCTAATGGTGCGACTCAAGCCCAATCTTCGCAAGCACAGGCTACTGCCTCCACTTCCACCGCACCTCCCGTTGCCAACACAACTTTGCACCCCAATCTTGATGCAACGATAAAAAACGCTGGACGCTGGACTCGCATCTGGCTATTTTTTTGTTGCGCATCTCCCGAGTATACCCATAGTCATCAATAGCATACCCCATCCTTTGTCTTGCGCTCTATGAAGATCTCTTCCATACCATCCTTCCAGTACATATAATGGAAAATTACCTTACATACCACGGTTGATTCTATCATTTGTCGTTGCCAACAAACCTCCACTGACCAGGAAAGCGAATCATCCCAATAAACATATGTACTACTGAAATGAAAAACACTTGCATTTGCGTCCTGCAGAAATGATACATGTGTAGATTGGCTCCGGTCACATCAAGTGCAAGAATATGGGATGCGAATCAGTTCAACTCCCACAACGTTCCACGCTGCACACTTCCCCAACCTGACGGGAGGTCAGCGAATGAGTTTGCTGACTTCATAGGAGTACTTGTTTACAAGCCGCCAATGCTTCTCAATACGTCTCCAAAGCGCGACCTTCTCTCCAACATGTGGACGAAGTCAACTGAATCTTGGCAAGATCCCCTTTCATGCTCAACACCCGCCCATCAGTCGACGTTAGACCGATGTTAATCAGTAAGAGCTCGTTCTTGGTGACTTTCGAGATCTTTATTTGTTTCTTGTCCTTTGTACGAGCGCCCAGCAAACGACGGATGAGGAACAAACTGATTTCAAACTCTAAAGTCTCGTTAGAACACGCTAGCATATCGAAAACGAGGATGGCTACTGCGGTAGACCTTTCGGAGCTTCCCGACCGCGCCCAGCACTTGACTAACGAGACGATCCATTCTGCACAACTTAGGAATCAGTCTTGGTCCCAACGCCGATCAGCCCTCCCGGAACTGCAAACTGCAAGTGATTGTTCTCCGCGTGCAGAAAACGATCTTGCTGAAAATCAGCTTGTAGCGATAAGTGTGCCCTTTACGACGTATTCGTTGACAGCGTCGATATTGTATTTCAGTTGCACAGATATCGTGTCTGTTATGAGGATGAGTACAAGTATAGAATAGTCCATGTTACCGAGGACGTACCCTTGACGAATGCAGCGATTGATTTTTGGTGCGCACGAGCCTTGGCTACCTTGATCAAGTCGACCTTGTTCTGCAAAATAATCAGGTTTTCCAGCTTCATGATTTCGACTGTGGCCAAGTATATGTTTCGTTTCCTGCGATCAGAAGAAGAGCAGCGTCCATGACTGCGGCACCGTTGAGCATGGTAGACATCAGAACCTCGTGACCAAGACACCCCACGAAGGAAACATCGAGAATGAGTTTGATCCTGTGACCGCATCCTGGCCGTTCGCACGGACAATTATCTTCCTTGTCTGAGCGAGACGATCGATAGCAGTCTGGGCAGGGACATCCCTCATTCTCGCATCTGTAGATCTATGATGGTAGATTAAAGACAGATCAGATGCGAATCAGAAGAAACATACTTTGAGATTTGCATAACCCAGCGTGATCGTGATGTTATGAACGAGCTCGCTTTTGAATTGTACAGTCATAACGCGGACGCCCGATATGGCCTTCACCATTGTTGAGGACCTATGACGGATTTTGAGTGACTATGGTAGCTAGTGAGTGTATGAGGCAAAGAATGCATTCTTTCACCCGTTTAGAGGTCAAATTGAAAGGAAACAAACCCCTTGCGCTGGTCCAAAATAGATCAGACAGAACATTATAGCATCGACACAAAGTGCGAAGACAATACTGAATTGCTCTGCAGCATATCATAGACTATGAAGCCGGAGCACTGAGCTGCAATGCTTCTCTTGCAGCTTCCCTCTTCGCAGCCTGCAGCGTCCACATCCACTTCAGGTCACGCTCCACCTTTTCCTTCCTCGCGCGCTGCCTTCGTTTGTTCAAATGACCCCAATCTTCCCCAACACCTACGTCGGCTGCTGTGAGCCGAGGCAATCCTAGTAATTCCGACTTCGAGAGAGTAGAGGCGGGCAAGGGCTTAGGTGGAGGAGGGGGCGTGGCCATTCTCCACAACCAAGTGTTTCTTGGTGCAGCGAGCAATACAGCCTGTTCCTTTCGCGCAGCTTTGGTCACCGTTTGAAGTCGGTGGTCGATTTCCGCCTGCGAGAGCGTTCGCTTGGCGCAAAACTTTTCGACCTTCTTTGAACTCATTAGCTCCGGGAGCACCACTCTCTTTAAATACCTGTGTCATGAGATTGAGTGCATCGACCAAGACATGTATCAGTGTCAACTTACTGTAGAGACCGTACAGGATGCTCTGGATGAGGCGGTCGAGTAGAAGGTTGCCTTGTCATTCCACGCACGACAGTTGGATGCTCTTTCTTCGGCACATTGTGCTGTGGCGCCGACGCATCTGAGACAAGTTGGGTCGCTTTTTGTTTCAAAGCCAAATTGTAAATGTCCTTGGTCGACAAAGGCGTTGTCGATGAAGCAACTATACTGCGCACGAGCTCACGCGCCGAAGGCAAGCAATGGCGCGGCCACAGGTTTTTTCGAAATGAAGAAATGGTGGCCATGATTTTGACGTACAAGAATTGCACACTGGGAGCTAACAATGGGGTCTGCTTACTAAGACGAGAAGTTTGGGCGCCTACTAAGTACTAAACAGAAGCAGAACCACATCCCTGCGACTCGCCGGAATTCATGACGATTCTGTGCACTGCATCAATACTAAAATAATCGAGGAAGCTTTGGAGAAAAACTACGTTCGCGCTTCCCATTCACCCTCACCTGCACACTCAGTACCACCTACTTGATGACCACCATGTGTTACTGCTGATAACAACTAATCTATCAAAGCTCTCTCATTATCGCAGATCTTCTCCAAGTCTTGATAAAATCCTCCTACATACTGCTAGTGCTCACATTGCACGTGCAAATGTAGTACCAGAATGTCGAAGTAAAGGTGGTTGCAACGAAAGAGTCGCTTGCGTTCTACGACCGTACGGACGTGGTCAAGACAGGAGGACGAGTGATTTGTGAGTACACAAAGTTTCAAGATGAATTTCTGCATATCAACGTCCATGACAGGGATCACACAAGAAAGGAGAACCAACCCTGCATATCGAGTTGATGAGATCGGCTGACATAGTCCTTGTCACTCCCTGCCCGGAAAATACGCTCTCAAAAATCGCACATGGACTCTGCGATAACCTTTCAGTATGTCCTACCGCCTGTTCACGTCTCACTCGGTGATAATCTTCTTTATTAGACCTCTCTGCTTCGTGCATTGGCACCTACGACACCGACTTACATATCCACAGCAATGAACACGCTCATATACGAACATCCGCTTACAGCAGAGCATGTGCGCATTGTCCGGGATGTTGTGCGGTATCAAATTGTTGGGCCATTGCAAAGGATATCGTCATGTGGGGACGTCGGTACGTTACCTTTTCTTTTCGTTGTAGATCTCTCGGTCCTTTCTCGAAGGACTGGGTGCCATGACAGAATGGTGAGATGTTGTGAAGATAGTGGTGAATCAAATGAAATCTAGCTTTATCTTTCCCAGTCACACGACTTATCAGACGGCTTCCATTCTGCCACAGTGCCGTACTCATATTGCTCCTCAATCATTTGATTACAGGATTTCTATCGCAAATGAACCTACATCGTGTGTCTTTCGCACCTCGCCCAATGCGCTCGATCGGACATCGACATAAAACCAATGATCACAAGTTGCCATTCTATCGCAACAATACACCGACAAGACGGCGCTATAGGCACTTCGCCTTAATTTTGTTTCAGTGCTGCCGGCTTCAGGATGTGGTTTGCAGACCTTTGCAGCGCGGGTGCCTATAAGATGTTGGTCGGATTTTTACAACACGCCTTTCGAAAGGTGGTTGCTCTTACAGGATGAGTGAATCGAGGAGTATTTGTATTACTTGCTAATATCAATGGGTTGTATAGCAACAAGAATTATTTCAAGCTGTACACGACAGCATGCTATTCGAATACGTCATCGCTGAGGTGGATCTTTCGAAAGGCGATAGAGAGTAAATCAAGGAGTACATGAATATTATTTCAAATCTTGAGCACGCGATAACACGCTCGAATATAACAGCCTATCTATTAAGCAGGGCTGATCATGACTAGTTCGAATACGTCATCATGATATTTCTCGAAAGGCGATAGTAGATCCTAGATCCAGTATAGCAACCATCTCCTCCGTACCATCTCAGAATGTCTCGAGGCTGCAAGAGTTCAATCGCGCACAATCACAGTGCGCATGCGCTCGAGCTGCGACCTTCCATGCGAGCAACAACGGCCCGCCCGGGGACGGTTTTCCTGATCCGATGCCAGTGGCTACTTTGAGTGCGCGCGAAACTCAGCGGACACCATATATGCTAACCACCACACCTCTTCCATTTCTATTGATCTGACCAAGGGAGACTTTTGTGGGAAAATCATCAAATGTTGCCAACAAGTTTACCTCCACTGAGTAAAGGTGGTCATGCAACACACTGCAAAAGATGCTTGTCTGGCTTGCCATCTTCCCAAGTGGATATTGATCCGGCCAAGTACCTTATCCAATGCTGATCTTGATCGTAGCTATTCTAATACGATTGTCACAGGCTTGCCCTATCCTTTTACTGCTTAGGCTCCTTGGATGTTTCGGGCGAACTCGAAAAGAAGACTAGGGATTGGGAAAGAGAACAATGGAAGGAATGGATATGGAGTCAACAGACTAGTGAGCAAATTCTGAGATTCAAATATGTTGGAGAATTGAGCGTAGTCACCAGGCGGACATTATGGAACCGGCTTCCGAGCAAGCTCTTATATGACTGCAAAACACTCGGTCAGAATTGGCCCTCGTTATATGCAGACATAATTGATTTCCAACCTAAAGACAGAGGAACATTCGGTCCATGATAGCCCTCAGATCATCATGACTTATACTGCCCTTCTCTCGCTGGCCATATTGCGCGATAACTTTTCACGTCTTGACAGGAAGGGTCTCCTGAAATTCCTCAGGTCCTGTCAGAACACTGATGGGAGGTAAGCCCCTACATCATGTCGGGCACTTTCAAGGTACAGACCAAGGGACCTAGTTTTTCTTCTGAGCCTTTAGGGGGCGACTCTGATCTACGCACGACGTTCTGTGCTTTCGCCATAAGCACCATGCTTGACGACTGGTCAGGGATGGATGTTGCAAGTGCTCTCCAGTTCATCTGTTCGTGCCGGGTAAGTTTGCGACAACTTCATATCAGGGGCTGTCCTGATAGCTGTTCGTAAGACATATGAAGGAGGTTACGGGCAATCGCCGTTTGGGGAGGCTCTAGGTAGTACGCCATACCTTATGACATGATAAAAGCTCACCCCACCTTTCTTTATCAGGTGGCACTACGTATTGTGCACTAGCAGCACTCCGATTAGCTACTAAACAACTAGACCCTCTTGATCGGCAGAAAACTATTCGGTGGCTTGTGCAAAACCAAGCACCTAATGGCGGGTTTCGGGGAAGGACTAACAAGGACGCTGATGCATGTTATTGTTTCTGGTGCGGCGCATCGCTGCACGTAAGTTCATAGTGTCTTATGACGTTGACATAACTAAAACATTTCCTCTCGTCAGGTGTTAGATGCAGGCGATTTGGTCGACAAGGCAGAAATGGCATCCTTTTTAGCTTTTTGCCAATTCAAGTTCGGCGGAATCGCAAAGATTCCCGGCGAGCATCCTGGTACGTCATTTTCAAACACTTTGACTTTGCAGCAAACGCTGTCCTAGATCCCTATCACACGTACCTCTCACTGGCAGCGGTGGCGTTGCTCCCACCCGATTCGTCAGAAGGAACATCGTGGGCGCTTTGTCCTCTAGATCCTCTATTGAACGCAACATACCAGACGTCCTCGTGGGCTAGAGCTCATATTCCAGCTCCTAAAGTTGATGATGATGCTTTGGGTGATGCAGGCATATAAGTGTGTGTTAAATTACGTTGAAGTAATAGATAGCTGGTAGGCACTCGATTATAACATTTCATTGACCATGTTCGAAGTGTTTGAATGCAACATTGCCTCATGCCATTCTTGTTGAATGGCAATCGTGTATCGTTGGAAAAAGCAGAACCTCCTTGACTCACCTCGTCTGTCAAGTGGGCCTCTTGAGGTGAAGGTCACAGCACATTCACGCTGCAAGTGCGGCACTGAATTCATGCAGGGTGTAATCAAACCCCTAGTGCTTACATTAAACAGACTATTCTTATAGTCAAACCTGGCATTCTTCATACAGCAAAGGTTTTTTATTATTTTAAGACACTCAGCTACAATGCGCAGACTATAGAATAAGGCCAGACGATCCCCAAACAGATTTCACCGCAAGCGGAGGGTACTCTGGCCGCCGCACTTGCCAATCACCGATCAGCGAGATGATATTATCAGCCTGTGCAATGAACAATGATAAGTTTTCATTCTATAAAGCTATCCAGCAATATCGCACACACATTTATCACCCTACGGACACTGTCTTCTCGTCCAATCAGGCTTGCATTATCCGGAACCAGTGCGGTGCGCTCCATGAAACGACGGGTGAATTCCTGGCGGCGTTCATGACCATCGGCTGTTTGCCACAACTTCGGTCCGGCTCGTTTGATCATGGATTGGACGACGCGTACATGTTCCACGCTAACCATTTCGTGTAGTAGAATCCCCAGACAATCGTGCATGATCGGTAGTTGGATGAGGCCAAATGCGAACAAGTCTGCTATGAAGCGAGAAAAATCCAATGCGATATTCCACCGTTTCATTTCGAGTTTTTGCCGCGGGGAAATAACATGTGGATTATTCTGCATGTAACAGTGAATACTCATCAGTAGAAAGATGTGCGATAAAACGCACAAGAGAACACCAGAATGATTTGAAGTGTTCCAAGACAGCGGTTTGCAAATGGACCACGAAGCAGCTGGAGACCCACTCAGAGTGATGGAGCCTCAATGCATCACGCACTTCTCGCGCAAAGAACGCCGCTTCCGGTCCAAAATCTATTATATTCGCTTTGGCTAAAATTTCCCAGCAGAAAAGTTGGGCGAGATCGCGTAATGTATCGAATGACCATGGACCTGATTGCGCCAGGACAGTCGGTAAAGCAATATTGGGTGCCAGCATGCCAGTGTCAAGTATACGCACCCATGCTGTTGGTGTGTGACCAGGTGGAGGAAAGTAGCCATACTCTACAAAGCGGCTCGGAATAAATGTCGTGGCATTCGCGTTAAGGTCTGATTTCATGGATTGGACGCCTAGCACAATTTCCTGGACCGATGCTTGATGAAGTCTGCCATACTTGAGTCCGCGAGCTTGTGCTTCGACACCGACCAATGTCGTGTTGCTGCTGCAGGGGGAATTGTTCAGAGATCGATCGGGCGTTCCAGCGCTCGACTGACAGGAGAGAGTTGCGTTTGGATTCTTGTAGCCTCCGAGCGAAGACGCTTCAGATTGACAGAATTGGTTCATTTGCGACATGAGTTCAACGTCAGTAGTTGCCACGGCTAAAAGATGAGGGGATGAGTCGCTAGACAGGCTGAGTGGATATGTTGATCTTCTGTGGTGGGTACAGTTCCACTTTATAGGGTAGGAAAGGGCCACAGCCGTGTGGTTGACCTCCACCCAGGTCCTGAACAATGACTGTCAGAGCGTGGTTCAACGCGTTGACATCCACAGTGCTGGTACGAAGATAGCGAGGGACAACAAAAAGCTTTGTGCACTACTGGTCCACATCAGTGTGCCGAGGCCACGCCACTGATACATTGTCCACGTTAATACTTGAGAGGAGTAATGGTAGTACTTACTTGAACTCCGGCTGATCATGATATCATCCGATATCGTTCATAAAACAGGTTTGTAGTATCATGATAGCACCTACTACTTAGTAGTAGTGTTCACGGTAACACCTTATGAACCAGTGGTCGACATGTGACCAGTGAAAATTGAAGGACCAAGCATCGGTGCGAGTGCGGAAGCATGGCCGAGCCACGCGAGCACGGAGTGGAATCGAATTTTGAGCAGCATGTAACCTCTCTGCTTTGGATTCAGAAATGTATGCATTATAAGAGGTACAAAATCATTTACTTAACAGTTCTGGTCTGCTGCACAAGACTTTGTCGGTGTGTCACTATAGTGAAATGACTGATTTAGAGAAATAATGAGCAATTTAGTCTGTCGACTCACCAGGCGCGTGTTATAGGTAGATTTCAAGCTGTTATATATCTCTGGTAGTATATCGGATAGTACACCCGCCTGTCACAGCTGCTGCGCGCGGGAAAGCGGGGTTCGATTCCCCGCCAGAGAGTATTTTGCACTGATTGTCATCATATCCGCATTTAATGCTGAGCGCTGAGAACTTGCTTTCTCTTCTGGATCTTTGAGCTGCAAACGACCACAAATCTTTTTAAATCTATCATTTTTATCGCGTGATATTCGAAGGCGATTTCATCGATCTCGATCAGTGTTAGAGCTGGCGAGCCTACGTGGCATATCGAGATACCGCAGGGATCGGGTCCCATTGCGTCTACCACGTCATGGTGTGTTGCTGCGCGTTGTAGTTCTGTCTCTTCTCTTTGTTCACTACCATGGCGACTTCTGATCGTGTCGTTGGTCTTCAAAACGGAAGCAGGCAAGAAGAACTTTTGGCCATACGACGGATTTATTGCAATTCCAGAAATGGGGGATATTCGTGTCAATGAGAATTAAATTCGGAGCACCGGAAGTCGGCAGACTCTCGCACTCATAGCAGCAACTACAGACTTTGATGACACCATTGACTTCCTATTCCCCCAAGACGTTCTCGAGGAGTCAGGATGCCGAGACCTGTCTACAGCGTGCATTTCTTTCCCCTCCCAATGTCTATGTAATGACAGAATCTTAGACAAGTTACTGGGCGATTTTCGTAAGTACTGCAAAGAGACGGACCCTATTCACGAAGCAACACAGACTCTTATTTCAGTTCAGACAGCCTCAAAGAAGCAGAGCACACTCAGTCCAATGCACCAGAAAACACGGCCGACTATCTCGCGATGTTAACTCGTCCTGGAATTCCTCCTCATCACCTTGATCTACAACCAAACTGCATTTGGGCGATTCAACGAAATCTCTCGGTGGAAAAGGGATTGGTGAGAAACGCGCGCGTGCGCGTGATTGCATTGCATCGTCGATTCATCGAAGTCCAACTTCTCGATATGTTCGAGAGCCACTGCATCTCACGCATCAACTTTTCGTTGCATTCAATGGTTGTCAAAATTTGACATTAGCGCGGACCGTCCTTGGAAGCTTGACCTGCGAAAGGATCCGTTCACTCACGGTCAATTGTATACGGCTTTGTCGAGGTCAGATCTTCAGAACGCGAAGAGACACGCTGTGTCTATTTGCGGAGACAAGCGAAGGACAAGACTGACCGTGCAAACATTGTATTCAGTGACTTGCTACTGTAGACACCGTTAAATAGAAAACAGACGACCAAAGCCGTGTCACATTTGGTACATTATTATAGTCCATCGTATTGAAAGCGCAGAGAAGGAGCTCTTATCGGTCCTCATATGGCATTATTGGCCTCTCCTATGTACAGTACGTAGTGATCCCAAAGTCAAGTCCCGAAACAAATATTACCGGGCGAGATCCCGAGCGAAATGGAAAAAGTCTACACTAGAGCTGTTAACGCCGTATTTGTAGATCTGTAAGATGAAGGTTAAGGATAAGCAGGCAGCAAGAAAAGGAGATACCATTGAAACTCACGTAATGCGAAGCAACCCAGCTCGAGAATAGAGCGCGTTGGTATGTTTCGGGAAGCCTCTCCAGCAGGGCGTCGAGACCGACTTGATCGACTAGGGTAGTGGGTATAGCGCGTCTCATGACACCCCTGCGACTAGGTACATCATTAAACAAGTCAGAGAGTTCAAGCTCTGCCTGCAAGTTATTGAGCCTGATCGACAATTCGTCCGAGATCTGCGTTCGGGGTTTAGCGCCTTGGAGGCGGGCGTGCTCGCGCCAAATGCAGTGGAACTCCGCTGCGGCATTCTCCGAAATCTTTTCTTGGATCTCTTTGACGTATTTTTGATAGAAATCTGAAGGCTTGGCGTCCTTGAAGATCATGAGGTCTAGGTATTCCTGAGTCGTGAGGGCAAGACCGGCGAGCACCTCAAGCGAGGAGCTGGTCACACCGCCTGAAGCAAGGTCAGAACCATATAATAGATTGTAAAAAAGCAATCTCACCCTTGTTCGCACTAGAGTCCTTGAACAAGACAACCTTGCGTTTCTCCAAGTGTAACCTTGCCTGCTGCGTGAAGAACAAATTTGCACCCTCGACAATGTACTTGAAGTGGGGTTTGCCTTCTGTATCCGTCAAAGCAGCAACATTAGAAACGTTCACAGCTTCAGGACTGAATGATCGTGAGCTAATGTTTCGTGCAGGTGGTGACACAAACATACCGTCCACCGCAAGGCACAAAAAGGTCTGCCTTGAAACGGAAGTGAGCACCATTCCTGAAGTCGGTACCGTCCAGAACGATTTCACCGGCTAGAACAGCATGTGAGATAACAACGAAATTTAAGAAAGCTGAACATACAGGGTAGTCTAACATCCTGTTCTTCGACCTTGACGAGGTACCCATCCTTGCTCAGCTTGGTCTTGTCAAAGTGACCGACGGTCAGGCGACATTTGGCGAGACGGATGAGCTCCTCCCTATTGATACCTGCAGGGTCGGCAAGGACACCACTGCCATCGATAATAGCAATGGTCTTGTCGGAACTCAAGAGTATCTCATTTGAACCAAGATCCCCGTCTGCAAAGTGTCAAGGACGACGTCCAAAGAGTAAAAGGCGCAAACGTACCAGGACCACCGGTTTGAACTTTTGTGATGTCTTTCTCCCTCAGTCCAAGCTGCTTGTAAATGCCAAGTACATATTGACGAATGGACAGCGACGTCATTCCATATGTATCATGGGGAATACCACCCAAAAGCTCGGCACTCTTGCCGGTGGTAAATGACTTCCACCATGTCTCGGCACCACGATCGCGAGCGTGCAATGCTGCCCAATCCATCATGTCTGCTGTGCCCTCTTTACCAGATGTCAGTCGCCTCCATGTTATATCGGATACGCAATCTTACCATCAGGGCCGAAGAACAGTAACTCTGGCTTTCCATACAAGTCAACCAGGGGTTCCTTAATCCCTGGAGTTTGGCCAGGGATAAGCAGGTCGATGATAGCCTAATTGAATGATTAATACCCATCCATTGATGCGTAATTGCGCACTTACATCGACATATTTCTCGAAGCAGCGTCTAGGTGGCGCTCCAAGACTACGTGACAGGTACATAAAAATGCAAAGATGGGAAGTGAAATAACGCACGAAGGCAAAATAGTACCCTTGGCTCCTCCTTCCGGAATATCCTTATTTTTCAAAGATTGAGTGGCAGCTAATCCGTAGTTCTCATCGAACAACATCCTCTGGTTGATAGAGTAGTTTCTGGTTGCATAGAACTCAGCTGCACGATTCCGAAGTCTAGAAAAGGTACACGTACTCCTTGTTCCGCGACCTGACGATTCGAATACCGCCGCGGGCAACATCTCTGAAGCGGATGTGGAAGCCGCGGAATTCATTTCCGATGATGATGAACATTCCGAAAGGTTTGTTTGGATATTCAATCTCAGGCAAAAATTCAGGGGCGAGACGGAACGACAGTGCGACCTTGGTGGGTTGATAGAAGTTCGTCTTCAAAATGTGCCTACGAAAAGTTCAGCTACCAATCAATCATTCGCTTTGAGACCCACTTGTTGAAAATGAGGAAACTCTCGAGAACTTGGAGATCCTGCTTGTTCAAGACTGTACGTCTGATTTTATCGTACAACTCAGAGTCAGACAGAGGCTGCGTGGTTTGAAGACGCTGGTATGAGAGAGTAGGACTGGATGCGTCTCGTCAAAGTCACCCAAGACAAATACATTAGCAGACTCACCCGAGCTGTGATGCCTCATCTGCAGCCGGATAATGTGCCATGGCGAAGTTGACATAGAGGAGACGAATCTGTTGGAAAGAATTAATGTGACATCTCGAGTGAAACTGGCAACGCACGATTTCCGCGTGTGCATGGATAACTTGAGCAATACTCTCCCGCGTGAAAGTTTCCTCCCTGAAGCGTCTCTTGATATCATTGAGAACTTCGGCGTGTGAGGGGTTCGATTCGTCCAGGATATTCTTGAGGTGGAGGTACGCGGGACCCAGGCGATTGCAGAAGTGTTGAGCGAAAACCCAACCACAATCTAATGAACAATTAACTCGATTCTTGCCTCAGAAATGTTGAGCATACATGCATAGGTCGCCTCTTGCACAGCATGTCCAGAGTTGACAGAATCGAGGAAAAAGGGGTTGTCTGGAAGACAGTACAGAAGAGATGCTTCTTTCATCACCTGGAATATGGAGTGCTCGATCGGCGCGCCGGTTGAGTTGGGCATCGGATTCAGGTATAGAGAGATTATGGTGATTCCATTGGAGAACTGTTCTACATACTTGCGGGCCGAGTACAGCTGGTAAAAGTGATAGAGGTTCGATAGAGCGCTGAAAATGAGCGTAAGGCTACCCGTACTATAACATAAATAGGTCAACATACCTAAAGAAACGGGAAGTGCCGCCCATCTTGTATCCGATGACAAGACGCCTCTCACGAGTGCCTTCGACTTCAAACACTTCCATGACAGGACCGTAGCGGCTCTCGACTTGCCACATGATTTTCTGGTACACTTCAAGAGTATGCGGGCTCGCCTTCTCAAGGAAAGCGGTATCGGAGACCGTACGGATATCGGTAAGTCCATCAGTCCGGGTTGAGGGGGGTGGTGGAGAAGGGAAGTTGCACTTGGTGATGAAGTAACAGCGCAGTTGTTGAGATGCTGTCGCCGATATGGATCCAGTGGATCGGAAAGTCTCAAGCCGGTAACAATTCGACGGAGTTGAGTTGTCGAGGTATAAAGAGTCGATTCTGTGTCAGGCACAAAATTGGCATAGCGATTGTGAGCCGTATCAGATAAACATACCTGGATTCACAGGTAGCACCAGGCCCTTCGGTAGAAGTCAGACCCGGTAAACTGGTGTGGATGAAAGTCGCCCCATTTCCTTTCTCGTCAATCCTCTCGAGGTCGATGACGAGCTTATTGAGATCGTGCTTAGTATAGGCAAGTACCTTGGCACCAAAGAGCGCGATGATGTGATCAGATATTACAGAAGGCGATTCATTTTGAAAGTAGGTGTCATCGATACCGAGCTGAGAATAGAACCAGTTGACTTCGTTTGCAACCAGCTCGCGAGGAATGAAACCCTATGGATATGGCGCCAATATTAATGCTTACTGTGACTGAGAGATAGAGGATTGCATCACCTTGGCAGCGACATCTGCTTGCACCTTGGCACGTTGTTCTTCCTTGCCTTTGAAGACTGGGGTAGTATAACCAGGCAGGTTCTTGACACGCTGCAAGGATGCCTCACTACTAGCCCTGGAGCTAGCAGCAGAAAGGCCGTTGAGGTTGTTCGGGAGAACTCCTAGAAGCTGGGACGGCGTCGATGACATCGTCTAGCAGTGATTATAGAGGTCTATGGGAAATCTACAGGTAAGTCGCGTCTACTTAACCAAGAATCGATTGATGCAGTGAATCGGAGGACAACAATGGTTTGAATAGTGCCAAGAATCTACCTCGTATTTATACAGATTTACGGACCATAAAACTCAAGCTCTTCTGTGTACGGATCTTAGACTTGTCAAAGTATAATCTGGTATGTAAGTCAAAATAGTGGCAAATAAAGAAAAAAAATAAGGAACAATTCGGAAAAGGTCACTTGACCAGGTACCAGTCTCCGATGGTTGGTTGGTACTTGATGCACATGGTCAGTAATTATTATGATATATTCCGCTAGGAGCGCACGGATGACTCAAGTTAACATCGTACGTATAGAATTATCCAATAATAAATATGGTGAACTGACCCTTATTGTTTCAACCGGGTTTTTCAAGGTGCCCGATAGCGAAACAGGTGACTCGTTCCATTTTGCAGTCAGCGCTGACACGAATCGGCACTCGGCAGCCAGGGGTTACCACAGGCTCACCATTGTTACCGCCATCACTGACAGTCTAATAGTAGTCTGTCTGTCTGTGCTGTTGTAACTGATTGGTGCATGGCAACCACTTTAAGGATGTCGATGAGGTTCATCGAGATCAATCTACAAAATTATTTCGAATTCAATGAGTAGAAATTCGAACCAATTGCATGCTTCTCGAAGCTTCCCGCGTCATATTGACTCATCGAATCGCATCATGGGATCAACCATGATATTGTTTGAAAACCTCATTTATCCTATTGCAGCCGGCGGACCTGAACGTTCGAACTCGTGTTCTCCTACACAGCTTTGCCTCTCCGAAGGACCGAAACTGTATCTGCCACGACACAGAACACGTATTTCTTGCTCGAGGACAGCCGCATCCCCTCCTACTTGTTGTTGGTGCAGGGCGTACATGGCCGTGTATGCGCTTATGGCTTGACGCGTGACGCGTCATGACTCGCGCTTGCTAGCGGCATGCACGGTCCGGTTCATGTCTTGACCCGTAGCGTACCATTCCGACCTTTAGTTTCGTCACAGCGTCGTCCCCCGAACCTAATTTTTTGCGATTAAAGTTACGATATATCACGTTCTATTCAAAAATGCCCACCTGACGCTACTCTGCATGACAACGACGCGTTGAAGAATTCTGAATGGGCAATGGAGGACCGAACCCGAGTTCGAACGTGCTCAAGGTACTGGTACATTGTGACACATTCGTGGAGTCAATGTCCTATCTGGAGATATACTTCCACGCCAGAATGGTCAGTCGAAGGAGATGTAGGATTTCGTGACACATCAGCCATGCCCTGAAGGAATTCACTGCTGCTCGGACCGACCAACGCTAGAGCTACGTGATTGGTATTGTCTGGCTTCCGCCTGTCGGAGTCCCTCACGGGTTTACTCAAGTATCGAGCTCGGTTTTCAGCGAGAAGCGAACATCATAATGATAACGTGCGGACACCTGTATGACCAATGGAAAATGTATGAAACCTATGCCTCGGTATATTATAAGATCTGATAGTACTTTCCCTCATTCATGGTTTAATTGGGTCTAGAGGTTGCTTCTACGAGCTTCTACTGCGCGAATCCCCGAAGGTCATCATGAGTAGTTAGTTAAATCCGTGGCGAGTTAATGCCACCATATATATTGGAGTGACCTGGCACCTCTTGATCACAGTCAGCACTTTGGCCCGCGCGAATGATAAAATCACTCACTTGAACTCGGGAAGCCCCGTCTCAGTCGGCAAAAACCTTTGAGGAGCTTTGCTTGTCTTGCATGGTAAACTCCGTGGTTGGTCCTTCTCTGAATTACGGTATTACCTTTCAACTGGTTCCGCGATACCCCGGAAGGTCTGAGCAAAACTTGTAGATTTGTGAAAGCGTGTGCATGTTCGATTGGATTCAAGTGATCGGGAAGCGTGCCACTTGCTTGGAAGATTCGAAATCGGATACTCTTAGGCAGGCTCAGACTGCTTTTGCCAATATAGCAGTGTCACTGGTGGAACTTCCGAGACTAACGGAGATGTTACCTAGAATAAACATACTCAATTTTGGCACAGGTGTGAAAACGTACCGACGGTTGGGGTGAAAACTAGCGGTACTGTGACACACTGGTAGCAGTCTGTCCTCGTTCTACCCGTCTAATTGGGTTGGAGAGATCTAAAGATCAACCTGTACGTCGGTTTAGTTGTAGTTGAGGTTAGGTGGGTTTCGCATAAGAGAATATGACAGGACATATGCCGAACCTGAAATAACGAGTGATGCCAATCATGACTTGCCATGATGGCCGCTCAGAGCGCTCATTGCGAGTTCGTCGTATATCCCGAAATCCGCGGTGATGCATGCACATGGTGCAGCCGTACCATCGCAAATTCTGCGGGGACGCTTATTTTGGATGCTCGTATTCATTCAACACGATCTTCATCTAGGGCAGCTTTTGAATTGGACAATGTCCGAGTCGATGACGAAGTTGGAAGATGATGCAACCGTTGTGCCGGCCGGCGAATACCCAGTTTTGTCAGCCGGTGTCCGGCACGACCGGTAGAACTGGGCCTAAGTCATCACCAGTGTCGAGCCTTTGAATTCGATTTCGTTACGTCGTACAATTGACTCACCTGGCACCCTGTTACCATGTTCCTCTCGCGCCTCGTAATGACTGCAAAACAATTCTCCACATCTGCCGTTGCCAGTTTCCCAAAACTCAAGACGCACAGCGGTACAAAGAAACGGTGGAGAGCGCTCAGCAATGGCAAGTTCAAACGCGTACGTACCAATCTCCCCGTTCCCCCATCTATCTCGTTCAGCTCAACAACACGCGCAGGCACACGCAGCACACGCGCATTTGAACGTCGCTAAGAGACCAGGGCGTAAGAACGCACTCTGCCAGACGGCATATTCCAGCGGAGCGCAGACGCCGACCTTGAAAAAACTTATGCCCTACGCCTAGCTTTACTTATTCTATAGGTCGGTTCCTTGTTTTGAGCTGGAGAGCATCGCACTCATCACTTTCAGATACTCTGTACTTCTTATATAATCAACATCTATTTCATCAAGAGTGCATGTCTGCGATACATGACACTTCTTGACGACATACGTTTTGCAGTTCCAATCTGCGTAAATGTCCCATAGAGCAGGGGACTGGTCGTCCACCTACTATCACAGGTGGTCTTCAGATACACAAGAAGCACATCATATTCGGCGAGGAGTGATACTTAGAATTCAGGAAACAGCAATGAAGTCACTGAAATCACTAAAGCCTCAATAATTTTATGATTTGAACCTGTACAGCTCGAAGAACAAGAATGCCCAAGTACTGGTCATGAGGTTGGTCGTTCGCGCATGTCAAAATCAATACAAAGCTGACAGCATCAACTGCGTGACGGATCTAGTATTACAAGTATAGTGCATTGCGCACTGGCATCAGAGTCTGGGTCACTACCTATATATTTGCATGCCCACGACATTCTAGCCTGATGGGTGAGACAGAGTGAGGAGGCGCATGAGGCGACAGATGCTGAGCACTTGGGATGTGGAAAGTGATGTACTGGAGGTGCCTGACGATATTGTGGAGGCAGGTGGGAGAGCTGAGATGTTTGTTCACTCCGTTTGAACCTATTCCATCTTTCATGACTCTCTGGTGTCATTCCGGCAGAATGTAATGTAGTTAATAGACCTTCGATGATTAGGGTGAGCAAGATAATTTTCGAGAATCACAGATGTTCTTATAATATTTCACATTCAAACAAGAGGTAGTATCATTAATGAAGCAGCCATCTCATTAAGAGTGTGATGAAGGTTGTATCAAGAAGTGAGTAGTGATGTGCCGGCCTGGCTTGGCCTGAAAGCCCCGGCTTTGGCCTGGCCTGGGGCGGCTTGGGCTTTCGAAAATGTCAAGCCGAGCTGTGAGCCAAAGCCAGGCCAAAGCCACGGTGTAGAGACTCATGCCTCTCATGGTGTGATATGGCACTTTTCACTAGGGAGTTCATTGCACGAACTTGCAGCACCATTCTGTGTGCTATCTGCAGCTATCCCTATATGAGGCGCAGCTTTCCCGCGCAACGCGCGCCATGCGCGCACCATTCCCGCGCTTTACGATGTATACGCGCGCGCGCTTTCCCGCGCTTGATCGCCCTATAGCGCCAGCCATCCAGAAGCATCCATCCACTGTCCACCAAGTTCTCTAGTGCGTATGTTTCCATTTCTCTTATCTGTGTATCGTTCCACCTTTATTTTGGACCCTTACTTACATATAGCTTTACATACCTTACTCGGTAGCGCTTTGGCTCCGCATGACAGCGCTTAGGCGCCGTATATAAGCGCCAGCATTACATACTATTAAAAACTTTCGAACTTGGCACTTTACCTCCCACCACCCACATACTACCTAGGAGAACATAGTAGAAATCTATTCTTTGACACCTCGCGCTTGTATCTCTTGTCTAGTATCCAATCACCACTTAAGCAAACTCACTCTTACTCTCTCTCATTACCGCTCACGCGCGCGTACCTTCGCTTTCCCGCGCCTCGCGTGCACCTGCGCGCTTTCTCACGCTTCGCATCAGCCGACCAGTAGCGCCTTCGGCGCGCACTACTAGATCCTTGCTGCACTCGCTTCCCCTTTAGGGTCGAACGCACTTGTCGTCTCAAGTATAGCAGACTAGGCAACGTGCGACCTCACAACATTTACAGATACAGTCTGGAGCATCATTTGTTCCTCTCAGTATTGTTGTTTCTACAGCGGCTCGGCTTGGGCCCAACGACGGCTTTTGGAACCAAATATAATAATATTCACTATGTTACACTATTTACCAGATCTCATCTGCTGATTCAATATCAGTGTCGTCCCCGTCATCCAAGATCTGTTCATCCCAGCCCTCCTCAGCATCATCGCCATCTGCAACCTCGCCAGTCTCCACATCGTTCTCAGAGTCGTCAGTTTCAACAAGAGATGATGGACCGGACTCGTGGAATAAAAGATCGTGATGCAGAAGGCATTTAACACATTGTAATGCTTCAACAATATCACCTTTGAGCCGATTGCGCCGCTTACTGATTGTAATGCCTCCTTGTGAGAAGGCTCGTTCACTTGAGACCGATGCAGTCATGATTGACAGATAATCCCTGGCGAGTGATGCCCAGACTGGATACCTCTGGGAGTTAATCTAGATGAAAATGACCATTAGTGATTGATATCTGATCCAATGACCGCTACTTACCCCCCACCAATGTATGGTGCTCATTCCAGCTGGCGGAGCTGCCTCGATAGTCTCAATGTAACCCAAAAACTCAGCCCTCCACGGTTTCAATGGGTCAGCAGTAGATTCATCTGCATCTGCCTCGCTGTCATCTTCAGACTCGCTCTGAACTTGTTGGATAAGTTTCTTGAGGCCGCTGACTTTGCTTTTGATAGTCATGAGCTGTGACGACGAAACATTTTGATTTAACTCGTAATAGCGTGCTTCAAACTTGAGGGTTGTTAGGATAACGAAGTGACCAGTATAAAATGAATGACATACCACTTTCTCCGCACATGCAAATACATCATCGAGCAAATGTGACGGCCAATGCTTTTTGAAGTACACCATTTTCATTGTCGGATCCAGTACTACACTTGCAAATGTCAGAGCGGGCCAACCAACAAAAATATATAATAACAAACACATAGCAACTATATAAGCTGGAGTGTCTGTCGTCCTGTCATAGTACTCGTCTAACTTGTTGGACGCTGCCTTGAGTGCATTAGCGAATCGACTATATTTAGCTACTACTAGCATAGTTTCAAACATCCTGTCATGGCCATCATTGGCCCATCAAAGGCTACGACATATGAGAGCCTGGCAAAGGAAAGTAAAGCACTGAAAATAGTAATGTTGGGTGACTCACCAGTTGTTTGAACATAACTTGTGTTATGATTGTCGTTGTCGAAGCCGGAAAAGATAACAGTGGAGACAAAAATAAACCTACATAGATACATAGAAGATCAAATCCGTGGAGTCACAAAGCCGTGGCCTGGGCCGCCGGCTTGGGCTTTCAAGCAACTCAGGCCGAGCCAAAAGCCGTGTCAGGCCGTGAATTTGGCCTATTCAGGCCCGGCTTGGCCCGGCCCACGGCTTGAAGCCGGGCCATGCACATCACTAGAAGTGAGGGAAACCTTAATTTGTTTACAGTGACCCTTTTCATTTGTCATGGAATTGCTTATCCCTCTCTCCAGCAAGCTTGTGAAGTAACTTCTGTGTCAGTCCTGGTTGCAAGAAAGTGTAGACACAGAGATGCTGATGCTGATGCATCAGAGCAAGCTACATTACAACTTCATCAAGGTAGAGGTCTGATTCTCCAGCAAATAAGTATATGCACTAGGAGAACTAGTGGGGAGAGACACTCAGTATGTGTAGAACAATACTGAGGTGTGCTACAGGCTGATATGAGCTATATACAAAAGATAAAGTGAGCTTAGGTAATGAACCAGCAAAGAAGTTTAGATCCTGGCACTACTTTGTTGGGCAACCCATCTACTTTCTGGGCATCAATCACACAGCTTTGCCAGCACTCTCCATACTCATGGTCTCTGGTCGGTGACTGCAACACCACACTCAGCGTCTCAGAATCTTCGTCTCAGTGTAACACTTGAGCTTGCACTAGGCTCATATTCAGCTATATTCCAATGCATATTGCACACGAATCACTTCCCAATGTTATCCGACACTTACCCACTCAATCTGATATTTATCCGCTAACCCGATGCTAGTCTGATGTAGTCCAACGCTAATCCGACGGACCCGACATTTCCCGCACATTGGACTTGATATTTTCCTGTGCACTTGTCCTCCCTATGTCCTGTCCTGTTGTATCTATCCCCACTAGGTGTGCAGTTATTCATTTTCATGTCGCTAACACTGTAGACCACATTATTACTATTGGAATCCGAGAGATCCGATAAGCAGATGCCCGAGATATCCGATATCGGGACGATGAGGGGAGATGGCATTTCGAGCACATACCAAAAGAGCAGAGCGAGCGACGCTTGACATCAGCTCGCATGTTTTGATATATTGATAAATTTTCATTCCTATTCCATCTGTGCTTAAAGCACTTCGCATTTACGAGGAACATCTCAGTCCGTTTTCAAGAGACTGAGATGTGAGTACATAGTTTTACCTAACATTTGCATAACTAACGCAACCTAGATACATTCTAGGTACATACAATGTTAGAGTCCATTTTCAAGAGACTGAGATATACATTCTAGCTCCCTCCGACTCATCCGCTCGCCTCTAAGTTTTACAGGTTATGAGCCCTGAACCGGCAATGGACACCACGCTCCCCACCACCAATTCAAATCTATTCAACATACCAAAGTTAGCCGAGGACGGCACTAATTGGATAACCTACAAGGAACGCATGTTGACTGTGATTGGCGCGCGAGGTCTGATGCGTTATGTCGACGGCCGGGCAATCAAACTGATACCTTTCAAGGTAGATGCGACCACAGGCGCAGTGACGAAATCGGATGGCTTGACTCCTACCCAAACGGAGATAGAGGAGGCCGATGAGAAGCTAGATGAATTCTATCAAAAAGACTCACTTGTTAGGCAGCACGTCTTCAGCACTATAACTGATAGGTTGCTGCTACGAGTCCAGAAGCTTGACAGCGTGTTGAGCATATGGACCAAAATCTGTCAAATCCATGAAGGAAAGACGGAATTAGTGCAGGTAGACCTACAAAGACGCCTGCAGGACTTATGCTGCGAGGAGAATGGCAATGTCAAGGCGCATTTTGCCGAACTCTTGAGGCTGCGAGAGTCCCTGGCCGGGATGGGAGCGTCCATCGAAGATCGCGATTTCCACACCATCCTTTTGGGCTGTTGGCAGAGTCATATAGACCCATTCTATTGTCCATCAGCGCTGCAGCCAGGATAACGCAGACACCACTCACATCGAACGAACTCA